TTCTTTTGCCGTTGTATTCAGAAAATTTGCTTAATACTGTCTCCTATTTGAGTCTTTTATTTTATTTATTTTATTATTCATATTTCTATGCCGCCCACTCTCCGAGGACTCTGGGCGGCTTACACCAAAGACAGTATACTAAATAGCATATGGCCCCCAACAATCTGGGTCGTCCTCATTTTACCCACCTCGGAAGGATGGAAGGCTGAGTCAACCTTGAGCCGGTGAGATTTGATCCGCTGATCTGCTGAACTAGCAGTCAGCTGAAATAGCTGCAGTATTGCACTCTAACCACTGCGCCACCTTGATTTGGAGAATTAAAGATTCCAATGCTGTAAATTTGTAAACTATAAATGTAGTTTGTGTTGCTTTCAGTGGGCTGGATATAGAAACTTTCCATATGAAAACAGTGTGATATTTGACCCTTTCCCATTTTCCCCATCTACTATATGTGTCGTGCCCCCCCCCCCAATAATTCTAAAAGTTGAAGGCATGGAAGAAAAAAATCCTGGAAGTTGCAGAGGGACTAAGCAAGTGTCACCTTCATTTTTTCCAGCAGGAGCATTCTGAGAAAAAAGAAACTAGCTTTAAGAACCATCCTGCTCTGTAAATATTTGCAACTGTTATTTTTACATTATTTTCAAAAATGTTTTATTTCAGGTCCTTAAGCTTCATCCGTGTTTGGCACCCATCAAAGTAGCTTTGGATATGGGAAGGGGCCCAGCAGTAGAGCTGAGACAGGTGAGCTATCACAGCAAGATTTTTAAAATAGTTTTTATGTCTCTTATTTTTTTTTTTTAAAAAAAGCACTTTCCATCTAATTCTCTTGGCCAAGCTCTAATAAAAGATAAAAGCCCTTCTCCAAGAAAAAAAATATAGCCAGAATCTATGTTCAAGTGCTGGAGTATTTTCAGGAAAATATAGTGTAACAATAGGGCAGATTTAATTCTACATAAATTAAAGAAAACAACTTCATGTATATATGGCTTTTCTGTACCTATTGGTGGATCAAGGATTCTGCTGTGCAGAGGAGAAATATTTCTGATCCACCAACCAGTTACCCTGCCTGGCACTGATGTCTGTGGAAGTTAGGTCTCCACTAGAAAAACTTTCACTACGAGCATGTTCCTTAGTACTGAGTCACAGGTCACAATTATGTGATGTGATTGTAGGAAAACTGTACAGAGAATCTCCATTCTGTTTTTATGTCACTCAAGAGTTGACCAGAGTTACAAAGATTGTTCTGTCAAGCTTCTGTACCAATTATCATGCTGCATTTGATCACATAGGGTTTAATTTGGGAGCATCTAAAATGGAAAACAAGTAACTAAAATAAATTGAATATCATTTTTATTATTAAAAACTAAATCTAAATAAATGGCTAGATTGCTTAGTTCTCTCTTAGTTCACTCGCAACAGCTGAAATTTCTGTGAATCTATTGTGATGAGCATTGAGCAGGATGATGGACCACATAATCTCTGAGGTCATTTCCAATTTTGTGATTCTGATTTTAACAGGCAGTGTAAGATTTTGATGCATTTTTTAAAATCTTCTGATTGCTTCTGGAAAACTTTTTACCCCTCTAACACCTTTGCAATCTTTTTGGCTTCTTGGCTACCAGGATTCAAATAGAGAATTGCTCTCTATAATTCTGTACAGTTATTAGTGTAGGTAAACCTATATTCAATATTAGAAGTGCATCATATTATACAGATATCACATCAGAACCCTGAATTGTAAGACAAAGTCTAATAAAATAGGACCCTTTTGTCATGAATAGGAGCTGAGAGCATCAAGCTCTTATTCCTAGCAATGCTAATAAATCTTAAGTAATTACAAAAAATAGTTTAGATCCTGAATTTTGCAAAAAATGTAGAACATTAAAAATAAAATGTATTGGAAGAAACAAACCAATGTTAGCACAGGGATTTTTTCTTTTCTCTTTCACCCATAAAGTATCATGTATTTATAAAGGATAATATTCGTAGCTCAGGGTTAAAATGAGGGGTCCTTGGTGCTCTCTGAGTTTGCTTGTTTTCTTGCAGAGGTTTCATTAGGGTAATGAAATGTCTGCAAGAAAACAGGCAAGCTCAGAGCACCAAGGACCCCTCGTATCATGTATTTAAATCTCCTTAGTGCCAGATATAAACTTTTTTATCATTAGAGTTTTGTCTTTTCATTCAATGATTCAAGAAAGTGTTTTTTTTTCCCAAAGGTGTGCCAAGACTTATTCAAGGAATTGTTAGAAAATGAGATTTCTGTTTGGCCTGGCTATCTTGAAACCATGCAATCTTCTTTGGAGCAGCTCTATACAAAGTAAGGAGGAAAAAGGGGGCATAATTCAGAATGTAATGTTGAGAGCTAAATGTTGGAAAATTTACAACATTGACAAAGTTGTTAAATTTGCTCGGAAGTCTTTTTGAGCAAACCAATTAACCTTAAGATACAACCCCCCCCCCAAAACCTGCATTTATTTGCAAATTGAATTCCTTACAGTTTAGTGAGTTGACAGAATAAACAAGTAGTGTAATTGTGGTTTATTAGGCCAGATTTATACAAAGTATTTCATGGTTTGGAGTGAAATGTAACTCCATCTACTGTTTCGGTCTTTTGAAAATTCAGGATTCCATTTGAAAAGCAAGCAATTATTTGTTAAAGTAATTGAAAAGTAATTTAGATGATTTAAATGGATCATATCTACTCTCTAATTCAGTGGTCACCAACCTTTGCGGCTTGGCAGTCCAGTGGGGGAGAGGGGAAGCGGGCTGCATGAGTGCAAGTTGAGCTGTGTGTGCACGCCGGTCTGCTGCTTGCGTGCCCGGTTCTGAATAGGCCACAGCGCAGTAATGGACCGCAGCCTTGCAGTTGGGGACCTTTGCTCTAATTGATTCCTGAAATATGCTTTCCTAATATACTTGCCTGATACTGCTGTTGCTGTATACCCTTGAACAGTAACTCTTTGTTCTTATTCCTGTTGATAGGTATGATGAAATGGGTGTGCTTTTCACAATCCTGATCAGTGATGCCACACTAGAGAATGGGCTGGTACAATTGCGAAGCAGAGATACCACTTTGAAAGAAACAATGCATATATCTAGATTAAAGGACTTCTTAATCAAATATATGTCTGCAGCTAAAAATACTTGATTTTTTTTTTTTTTAATAAAGGCAATTTTGAACCTTTCTGAATGATGATACTTCTTTAGGTCAGAATATGTTTAGTCAAATATGTCTTCTCCAATATGTAGTTCTGTTTTCTGAGATACGCCTTTTTTCCATATGAGAAGGTAAAGCAGACAAAATATCACATGTGTAGAACTAGTTACAACAGTGAGCTCATAATAGTACAGAACTATGTCTAACAAACAGAAATATGTGAACATTCCATTTTCAAGCTTAAGATCTTGGTTTTTTTAAAAGGTATTTCAAAGGTTCAATATTGTTTTTCTCTATAATTTGGGTTTAAATAGTAATTGGGATGGGTATGTTAGGGCATCTATCTGAAGAAGGATCATTTAAGCCCATACTTAATCAAATTGTTGTTTTTGCCCATTTTCAACAACAATATACATAAATGGCATTTCCAAAAGTTTGAAAGCATGCTAATATAAGAAGCTGCTGTCATATGCTTCGGTGTCCGTCATATTGTTCTTTAATAAAAACAGAACCTCATCTTGGAGCCAAATTACCAAGGGACAATAAGTAATGCTGAACTTCTGAAGAACTGAACAGAAAAGATCCAATCCGTTCTTGGTTGTTTTCTCAACAGAACTGACATAAAATCAAACTTCTATAATGACATAAAATAAGGAGCATTAGCTTCTTTAAAATGTGACATTTTATAAGGAGGGAAGTACTTTCTAGAAATGCAGTATAAGTGAACAATTGGAAGAGACTATCTAGCTTGGAGGAACAAGTGGAAACTCTGCTTTATAAGACAGACTCAGTATCTTTATATAATTAATTATAGAAGCACTCAAAGTGAATGCAAAAAACTCCACTGATTTATAAGAGAGCATCTGAAAGGATTCCTCAGAAACCTGTTGGCTTTGCCTTCACAGCACCAGGTATAAGCAACTTTTATCCTCTGGTTATTTTGGGAGTTCAATTCAACTCAAAGCCTGTGTTCAGCCCTGTCTTCCCAGTGAAAGGTCTTATGTCCATGCAGACAACCAACTAACCATCTTTATTTAGTGAGCAGATAAGTGAACGCTGTGAGTAGGGCAGGTAGCTTAATTTCCCATAGGAAAATTCTGAGGGAGGAGAGAAAAAGAAGGTTAATGAGCTGGCAAAAGAAGACTGCCTTGAAAATTCTGAGAAGAACTTGGATGGAGAATGTATGGTGGTGGTGATGTTCTAGAGTCTAGACAGTGGCTGTTGAAGATTTGTTTTAGTAAAGTGTAATGCTGAACAGTAAATGGATAGGACATGTTTATCTTGGTGAGAGCTTGTTCTAGGGCAATTCAGAAGAACATTGGAAGAGAACTGCGATGTGAGTTCCAGAATAAGACTCACAGAAGGTGAACAGGAAGATCTTGCCTGGTTTTCACAGATGATTCCCCTGACAGAAGATAAGGTCTTCTACCAGTCAGAGCCTAGGAGGGAAGCCTGTACCAGTCTAAGAAAGTCTGACTAGATATTTAGATATTCTTGCCTTAGTTCCCATCATGGCATTCTTCTGTGACTTGACCATTCCAAAAATAGAGCTGAATTTTATATATCTTGCACATTTTTGTGATTTTTCATCTTCTTTCTCTTAACTCTTACTGTAATCTTGAAAATGAACTAGAATGGTTCAAAACATGTTTGCCACCAACATTTTTTGGCATGGTGAAAAATGAGATTCTGGGGACTGCATCAATGTTCAGATACTTATTCTGATGTTGGATTTCCTGCTGTGTTGTACAGATAAAAAGTGATAAAAATAATATCACTTTTGATATTAAATATGGAATTTAAGAATAAATATGGAATTTAAGAATAATTGAAACATTCATCCTTGTCATATAAAGGAATCACTCTTTATTTACAGATGACTTCTGCATAGGTTACGGTATTGTCTTCACTGTCATTCACTAGAATAGAACCATAAATTTAAAAAATGTTACCATACTGAGGGGAGACTCCCAAAAATAACTCTTAAAACTAGACAATAAAATAACTTAAATCTACAGTATGCTTGCTGGTAGAAAATTGTGACAAATTGCTGTCATTATACCTGGATAAGTCAGCTATAAAGCTGACACCTGTCCAGTCAGAAAACTGATAGATGCCTATTCATTGCACTGTAAAAGTAGTGTAATTTTCACTTGGACATGCTGATGATTCAGGCCTACCTCTCCTAGCAGAGTTTGTGTCTGCAGCTGTACTGAACTGGTATTTTGAAGTCTCACTGAAATAGATGGCACTCACTTCTGAGTAAATAGAATGACCTCGCAACATTTCAGAAATAGACCTCACTTTCAACCAATAATGGTTGTCGAGCAACGGCAAGGAACCAGTAACTTTTCAGACAATGCTGAACTACAACTCACTGACTTTCCCACTATTGGCTATTCTAGCTATGGCTACCATGAGTTGCAAGTTTTCCATCCAATTCTAGGGAACTGCAGATAATTTTTATTTTAGTTTGTGCTCTGCATTTTAATTAAATTGCTTCACACCCAAGTGATTTATCTCATGTATATCCTGTTGAAACGGCAAGGAGCTCTCTTGCTCTGATGTAGACTTTTTCATTTTCTTTTTTAGGAAGCAATTATATGCTCCCATTGAGATAGGCAGTGCTACCTAATGTTACTGCAATTATTGGCTAGTTTCACTGGCCCAAATGTATGTAGTTGGTCATCCATAGACCAATCTCCAACCCTATTAGCCTTCCATAAAGTTCTAAAAACCTGCCCATGCCACTGAGCCTGGGGCACTACATGCCTCCTAGCTATATTGTTAACAAGCCAGATATTTTGCTTTACTATCCACTTCAAATTAGACGTTTTAATGTTTTTTACAGTTCTAATGTTTTTTACTGTTTTCATTGTTTTAATGTTTTATACATTTTAATTGTAATATACGTTCTGAATTGTGAGCTGCCCAGAGTCATTTGCTGAGATGTGTGGCTGTAGAAATCAAACAAATAAACAACTTACACACACACACACACACACACACACACACACACATTCTCACATAACTAGAATGCTTTTGATCCAAAAAATTACCGTATCTGTCATCTGTCTTGGTTTTCATTTTCAAATTGCAATATTCAGTTATTTCATAATCTAAATGATAATGCAAGAAAGAAATTGGGTACTGTTATAATAGCAAGGGCAATGAATTAAGTGACATTTCTTTGAAAGAAGAATTCAAACATATAAATTAGGATATGCAAAATGGTTCAAACCTGAAACGATCCGAGTTCAAAATTATTCATGCTTGAAACGAAACACATTTTGTGAATTTTGGTTTGAGTCTGAAATAATGCAGGCTGGTTTTATGTTCAAGCATGAAATACAATACAGCTGTTTGAAAAGGAGTAGTTGCCTCTGTTGTTTTGATGATAGGTTTGGAAGCCGCCCTGGGTCTTCGGAGAGGGGCGGCATATAAATTGAATAAATAAATAAATAAATTAAATAAATAAATAAAGTTGTTTTATCTCTTGCAGTTGGAATGTTTTATTAAATTTTCCTCTCTGGGTGGTACAGCAGGTAGTTAGGCCCTTGTGTTATGGGATTAGACTGGGTGGAAGTGGCCTAGAGACGGAGTTTTGGAGCGAAGTAGCCAGGCATTTAAGGAATACGTAGTGCTGTGAGAGAACTGTTCTAGAGCTGCCTGTTCTCCCATTCGTCACTTCACTGCATAACTGCCTAGAACAGCGCAGTGTGTATCCATGCTCGCTAGGGAATTCTGGGAGCTGAAGTCCACATATCTTAAAGTTGGCAAGTTTGAAAAACACTGGCCTAGAAGGTAAATCACTGCTTGTTTTTTTCTTCATTTGTGTACCCTTTGTAAATACAAAAAGTATTAATACAGGGTTGAGTTGATTGGATTGGCCTGTCTTCTTGATTGTGGAGCTTTGAGAGTACCTTTAAGGACTCCCTGCGTTTGTAGATGCATCCTGAGTCTCATCATCAATGGGACCCACACTGGTTTAGCAAGCCACCCACACAGGATCTTCTTCTCCTAAACGTTTTCTATATACTGTACAGTACATGGTTTGTTTTGCTTTGGTTGGTTGCTTGAATGCTGTCTCTTTTGGAGTTTTTGGAAAAACCAAAAAGACTTAACACTGTTCGGTTAGCTTATTGAACATTTGATGTTTATCATTGCACTTTGTACATATTCATATGCCCTTTATTTGTGCAGGCATCGGGGTGCATTTAAAAATGTAAATGACTCTGTTGATTGGCCTGCTAAATGTAGGCTTATAATAGCACTATGATCATGATCTACAGCCTAGATTTTGTTGGAAAGGCATGTTTTATATTGTTTATAATGATTTTGTATTATGTTGTTTGGTTATTATAGCTGGTTCATATAATTTGAGAAGGCGACAGCTTGCAGGAGAGTACGCTGTGGTGAACTCAACCAATTATATTTTAGTTATAAACAAGGTTAAGAAAAAGGCCACTTTGCATATTGTCTGACAGAGTCTTTGCTTTTGACACTTTAGTTTGAACTAAAACAAGATTATTACTGGTTGGGTTCACATAATATGCTTAGCTATGTTTTGTTTTATTCAAGTTTTGTTGAACGAGACATGGTGGCCTGGTGCACAGATAATTCTAAACTATAAAGGTATAGAAAAGGTAAAGTTTTCCTCTGTCCAGTAGTGTCAGACTCTATGGGTTGGTGCTCACCTCTGTTTCTTAACCAAGAGAGCCAACATTGTCCAAAGAAGCTTCCATAATCATGTGGCCAGCATGACTACACGCCAAAGTGCACAGGACACTGTTACCTTCTCGCCAAAGTAGTACCTATTCATCTGCTCGTATTTGCATGCTTTCTAAACTATAAAAACATTTTATAGTGTTTGCACTATATGCATCAATCTATATATCTAGAAACAAACTACCTTCTAGTTTAGCAAGATGCATCAATCCATATATCTAGAAACAAACTACTTTCTAGTTTAGCAAGATGCATCAATCCATATATCTAGAATCCATAACTTTCAGGCTAAGAAAGAAAACCCAGAGAAGAGATATTCCTGCTCCTTGTATCCCTCTCATCAGCTTAACAGTTCCCTGTGGTGGTATTTCTTTGATTCTCTTGCAGTTCTCTTAGGTCTCAGCTGGTGACTCTTCAGAGGGCAGTTGAAATTTAAGAAAGAACAGCCTGCTGGTAATCCTACAAGTGATCCTGCTTGTATTGATTCAAAACTAGTGGTGCCCTTACCATTCTATTCCCACTTACAAATTATAGGCACCCCCAACCTTAAGGCAGAATTTGCAAGTTGTTGCAAATGCCAAAACTAAAGCAAAGGTGTTTAGCAAGAGTGGTAATAATTGTACAGTAAGTATAATTGTAAGAGAAATAATAGCACTATGGAACAAGTGAAGGAGTTTAAACCTTTGGGGGCCATCTTCCTTAATATGGAAGAATCAACCAAAATATGTCACTGTTGAAGACCAAAGATTCCCAATGTAATCACTCAAATTGCTAACTCTAGAGTTTTGTCCCCAAACCAGGAAAACCTTTTGCTTTATGGCACATTGTCCTGTATGTGTAAGAAGATTTAGACTAAATTTATAAAAGCAACTGTTCTCTGTATGGACTTGCACAGAAAAGTGTTTCTTTTGGCTGGACTTCATGCCATTGATAGTTTTACAGGGCAGGTATACAGGTAGTCCTTGACTTATGACCACAATTGAGCCCAACATTTCTGTTGTTAAGTGAGACGTGTATTGTGATTTTTGCCCCTTTTTATGACCTTTCTTGCCACAAATGTTAAGTGAACCACTGCAGATGTTAAGTTAGTAACACAGCTGTTAAGTGAATCTGGTTTCCCCATTGACATTGCTTGCCAGAAGGTCGCAAAAGGGGATCACAATGGGATGCTGCAACCGTCATAAATATGAACCCATTGCCAAGCATCTGAATTTTGATCACATGACTACAGGGATGTTGCAATGTTGTAAGTGTGAAAAAGGGTCATAAGCCCCCTTTTCAGCATGGTTGTAACCTTGAGCAGTCAGTAAATGAATTGTTGTAAGTCGAGGACTACCTGTACAGTAACAAGATCCCCTACAACAGTGGTTCTCAACCTTTCTAATGCCGCGACCCTTTCATACAGTTCATCATGTTGTGGTGACCCCCCCAACCATAAAATTATTCCTAAAACCATTGAAAATATGTTTTTTCCGATGGTCTTAGGTGACCCCTGTGAAAGGGTCATTCGACCCCCAAAGGGGTCGCGGCATCACAGGTTGAGAACCACTGCCCTACAAGATTGTCTACCCCTGATCAGAAGGATCAGTTGAGCCTTTGTGGCTCACTGCTCTGTGGACCTAGGATGTATTTAGAAAATCTGTGTCCCCTATTCCATGACAAGTGTATTCATAAATAAGTTAAATCTAATCAATAATATTCTTGCACTTGGAAACTGGTTTTTTCTCTTCCAAGTGCACGTTGGAGAAATTGAATGAAGTACATGGAAGGTTCTCTTACCCATACAATATTCATTGTCAAGTTGGTTCTCTCCTGGAAGAAAAGCATAGGTCCAAAGTTAAGCCACTGTAGCCTCTCAGTTCAATTCTTGCTTCAACAAACACACGAGAAATTGTCTCTTGGGGTTAAACTTCAGTCTGACATCCAGAAAGATGGAAGGCTGATTCCCCTTATTATAAGGATGGCATTTGCGGAAGTGGATTAATCCTAGCCAGCTATTTCTCTTATATTTGTTCTGATTTGCATCAAAAAGTATTTTAAAACTACTAGAGACCATTTCACTGATACTACTATTGGTGGCGCCATCTTGAGGCTAACCTAACCCCCACACAGCACTGTCTTATGCGTAAAAAATACCCCTGTAGTAGAGCAGAATTGCCAATTATCCTTCTCATCTTCCCATCTTTTCTACTACCTTCTCTTATTGATATCTTATATGATTTATGATCTATGACTTATCACGTTGGGGTTTGTATGTACACTGAGAACTTATGCACTGAAGACAAATTCCTTGTCCAATCACACTTAGTCAATAAAGAATATTCCTCTTCCTATAGATATTTTTTTGGAGCAAAGCTTAAGATCATTGATGTCTCTGCAAGACAGGTGCACCATCAGCCACCTAAAAGATTGCTTCTGCCATCAAAGAGTTAGGACGAGGCTATTTTAAATGCTCAAAAATATTTCCTTCTTCTTATTCATATACAAGAAATACATTTTATGACAATGCTAAAATATTGACAGTTACCAGTATCATCATATGCAGTGGAAATATTAGCTAATTTCAGTTTCCCTGCAAAAAAACAAAAAAGAAAAGAAAAAAATTTAGTCGTAGAAACAATGGGCTCAAGTAAACAATGATTTTTTTCCTTTGTAGTAAAACTACATTCTTCATGTTAGATTACTGTAATGTGGCCTGCTTGGGACTGCCCTCCAGAAGTTGCAATTGATCCAGAGTGCAGCAGCACAATCATGGGCATATTGTTTAAGGTGTTGGTGATCACCTACGAAGCCTCATGTGGCACAAGACTGATGTTTGTGAAACCACCTGTCTCCAGCTGTATTGTCCCATCCCAGATGCTATTCTAAGATGGAATGTTCCAAGTCCTCTCTTTAAATCAAGGTCATCTGGTTGGACCTAGGAAATGTACCTTTTCTGTAGTGATACCTGCTCTTTGTAAAAATCATCCCCCCACCCCCCAAAAAAATTGACTGGCCCTAATTATGACAGCCTTTCAGCAGTCAGAAAAAACTGTCTTTTCCTCTATTGTTTAATTCAGGATATTAGATGTACTTGTCTTGGGAGGTGACATTATGTATTTGATAACCACAATGTAGATTGATTTTCATTGTTTTATTATTTTTTTTAATACCATATTAGCTGCCCAAAGTTTCTTTGGTGAGTTGAGTGGCCGTATAAAGGAAATCAAATAAAACAATGTAATGGAATCAAACTAAATCCTGGGATTCCCAGCTGGAAGCCAGAGGTGCTCAGTCTGAGTCTTCAAGGCCATATGCGATCTCTCAAAGTTTTGGGTTGGTTAAACTCCAAAATTTAATTTCTTCCTTCAATTATATTAATAGCTAATCCTATTTATGATATATCATATCACAAAGGAGCCCTGGTGGCACAGTGGTTAGGATGCAGTATTGCAGGCAAAAACTGCCCACAGCCTTGAGTTCGATCCTGACGGGGCTCAAGGTTGATTCAGCCTTCCATCCTTCCGAAGTCAGTAAAATGAGGACCCAGATTGTTGGGGGCAATATGATGATATCTGTAAACCACCCAGAGAATGCTGTAAAGCACTATGAAGTGGTATATAAGTCTAAGTGCTAATGCTATTGCTATTTTAATTAAAGTTAAATTGTAGATGCGAGGACCTTCTGCAACATATGGTTCCCCTATAGGGCTTTATAGGTGATCACCAACATCTTGAATTGCACCTGGAAACCCACTGGAAGGCAGAACAGCTCACAAAACAATCATGTTGCGTAAACATATTATAATGATGTGCACTACATTAAATTTAAATTTAATTGAAAAGTAAAGGAAATTAAAGCTGTTAGCTCATGGTATGTAATACATTTGCAAGTATTATGCTCTATTCTCTAAATTTGTAGGATACCAAAGAGTTCTGACAAAAGGAATGTAATTATAAACCAAGCCCAGCCAATACTCACTTGCCTTACACCAAGGAAGGATCAATAGTCGAATTGTCACAACTGCTGCAATCAATAGTAGCAGGAGAATGAGAGGAGGCACAATGAAAACAGCTAGATTATTACTTTCTGTTGCTAGAAGAAGAAAAAAATCATATTAATGAGTATCTTTCATTAAGCATGATGACATTTTAAATAAACTAAACAGCAATGCCTTGGATCCTAAACTTGATATTCCACCAATTGCTGCTTATTTAGTTTAGTTTGGTGTAGTGGTTATGGCATCGGGCTAGAAACCAGGAGATGATGAGTTTTAATTCTTAAGCACGAATAAGGTGACCAGATTTTAACATTGGTAAAGAGGGACACCATTGTGGGCGTGGCTTATTTTGTGGGCATGGCTTGGAGGTCATGTGACTGGTGGGCGTGGCTAGCTGGTCATGTGACCGGGTGGCCATGGCTATGTGTATAGGGACTACTCAGAGGGCTGAAAAAAGTCATTTCTGACAGGTCCTCGCACTTTTGACTGGTCCTCACACTTATGACCATCCTCACATTTATGCCCGTGCAGCATTCTCAACAACCATGTCACTCATTTCACAACTGCTTCTCTTCACCATGGTGACAAGATAGGGCAAAAAACGTAAAATGTGAGCACAGTCGTAAGTTTGAGGGCTGGTCAAAAGTGCAAGGACCAGTCAAAAATAACTTTTTCAGCCCTCTGAGTAATTCATATGCATAAAAGGATACAGCAATAGAGAGGGATGAAGGAAGGGAAGGGAAATTAGAGTAGGAGTGAGGGTAAGAGAGGGAGGAAGAGAGGAGGAGAAGGAGAAAGGAAGAGGAAGTAGGGAGGAGAAGAAGGGGAGGAAGAGAAAGTAAAAAGGAAAGAAAAGAGAGAGGTGGTAGGTTTGAGGAGAAAGATTGCTGTACAATAAAAAAGATGAAAGGGAAGAAAGCCAACCCCAAACAAATATAAAGATATTAAGATAAAGAATGAATTGTTAAACTTTAAAGAATAAAAGAGAACAAATATGAATAAATAGCAATAATTAGAAACACACATACAAACATACAATGTATTTTCTTTGAACAGAATATTTGGCTGGTTCACAAATTTAAACAGTGTTTAGTCATTTCAATTAAATTTACAATTTCTATATTTCCTTTTTGCCATATTTATTCCTCATCTATTTTTTTAAAAAAACAATATTAGCCTTCATCCTCATCTCTAATCTTAATCAAATTCAATTTTTCCCTTCTATTCTATATTATACCCCTTCCCATTGTCATCTATTTTTATATCCATCCTCACATTGTTTAATTATGTAATTATGTAATACAGTTGTTTAATACAAATTCAACATTTTAATATAAATCAATTAGTTATATAATTATCTTTTTGTATATTTATCAATATGAACATGAATATTCCAATTATTTCCATGCAATCCAATTTCTTACAAATCAATTAATTATATTTAGCAATAATAATAAACCAAATAATTTCCCCCATATATTCCTCCAAACCACAACTTAACCATTTCTGCTTTCAACACAATATACAATTAATAGTATCTCAATTATTATAATTCCCTAGTTAAATAGAGCTTTTTTTCTTTTGTGTTTTAAAATCTTGAACTCTCCTCTTTTGCCCTAAATTTCCCATTGTTTGTACCTACCTTTTTTGGTGAGGAAAAAGAAAAGAAATCTGCTGCCTAATTTTCCAACGTTGCACCAAACAAGCCAACAGCCTGTTTCACTTTCAGTTTCATTTTGAGCTTGGTTTGCACAAGGAGAAAAAAAAATCTGCTCGAGCAATTTAGCAAGAAGAAGAGCCCTGCGCAAAACAGCTGAGAGCAAATCAGCTGAGAGTGGGGAAGCCGAGCTAATCAACGTGCTAATTAACCTACACGGAAGCTGTAAGGGACTGTTTTTTCTATTTTTGCGGGCATGGGTCTACTCATTTGTTTTCTTTTAACACTGATCAGCTGTAGGTCGGCCCTTTGAAGTCCCGCGGCAAGAGTTTAAACAGTTTTTTTTCCTCTTGCCATCAGCTGGGACTCAGGAGGCAGAATGAAAAATCGGGACTTTTTTAAAACGCCACGGGACGCGGGACAAATTGCTAAAAATCGGGACTGTCCCGCCAAAAGCGGGACGTCTGGTCACCTTAAGCACGAAGCCAGCTGGGTGAGCAATGGGCCAGTCACTCTCTCTCAGGCCTAGGAAAGAGGCAATGGCAAACCACTACTGAAAAACCTTGCTAAAAAAACTGCAGGGACGTGTCCAGATAGTTGCTGAGAATTGGACATAATTAAACAGAATCATCATCATCATCACTATCATCACCATCATCCATGGACAGCAGCAATTTCCATCAATTTTCTCTTCTGTCTGAAGACTTTTCCCTCCTTGCTGTCCCCAAGTACTGTAGATGCTCAACTCTCAGGAGCAAGATTTAAAGAGATATGGGGTGCAGACAAAGAGGGGCAGTCTATCCAGCAAAACTCCCACCGATCTAGCCCAACTAAGAGAGAGCAAATTCCTGAACCTAATCAAAACTCTTGCTGTATTCATAAAAGGATCAAAATAAGTGGCTGGGCAAACTTATTATACTAAATCTTGACCTGTTTTAATACCGGTATAGTACTCTGTAAATCAAGATTTAGAACCATACTGTCTCAGTATGGATTCCATTAAGCTGAAATAAAAAAATACATGGTGGCTTAATGCAGAAGTTTTCAAACATTGTGATACTATGACCCTTTAATAGTATACAGAATCTGTGCAACCTCATAAATAAATCAATTTATTTCACTAGGATTAGATTCAAACAAAAAAATAAACATACCAGTAACTTATAATGATTCATAATCTAGAAAATAAAATAAATTGAGTTTAGCGGGAAGGAAGAATCTGGGTCCTTGTTTTGTTTCTTTTCTGGCATTTACCAAGTAGAATTCTACAAAGTAGTGTTTTTCTAACAGAAAAATGTGAGGACTCCATTAATGTTCCTTATAGTTATGTGTAAGAGTCATTGAGATAAAAGATAAATACAAGCAGAGACTGACCCTAACATTGATTTTTTGATAAAGTAAGAACTAGGTAATATAATTGGTTTGGTTACTATTATCCCCTCACTTCTTTATTGTGTATTGTTATTTTCACTCAGTAAAATCACGAAGAAAAAAAAGCTAGAAATGGGTATTTCCTTTGTCTAGGTTGCTACGAGTACCAGACTAAACACGGTCTTTCCTTTTTGGAATATGATTTCTAAAACTAACACAGAAATCAACAACAATCATTGTTTAGTATAAAGCATAAATATTTAAATTGTGGTTAGCAGTTGGGGCAAAAATGGATGGAACAGAGAGGATTGTTTCTAGAAAGTTGTTTTTTTAAAAAATCTATACTCACTGTTTTCTTATATTTTAATGATATATATTATTGTCCATAGAAGAGAATATTTATGGCTCTCTGAATTGTGAAGTCTTTCGTGCTGTCTGAGTTTGGTTGTTTTCTTGCAGATGTTTCATTACCAACTATCATCATATAATAGATTTCTGACAGGTAGGCCATAGTCAGTAAGGATGGGATCTCACCATTCCTCTACTCTGATACTAAGCACAGGAGCCCCCCAGGGTTGTGTGCTAAGCCCTTTCCTTTATTCCTTGTACACGCATGACTACACCCCACTGTATAACACCAACGCAATTATTAAATTTGCGGATGACACAACAGTGGTGGGGCTCATTAATAAGAACAATGATTCTGCTTACAGGAAGGAAGTACAAGGGCTGACATTGTGGTGTAATGAAAATAATCTCACACTTAACACCACAAAAACTAAAGAACTTATCATTGACTTCAGGAGGAAGAAAGATGTACATCTACCACTGTACATAAATGGTGAGGTGGAGAGGGTGGGTAGTTTTAAATTTCTGAGCACTTATATCTCGGAGGACTTCTCATGGACTATGAATGCTAACATGCTTGTGAAGAAGGCACAGAAGAGGCCGTACTTCCTGAGAATGCTCAGGAAGATAAATCTATCTCAGCATCTACTTCTGTCCTACTATCGCAGCAGCATTAAGAGTGTCCTGACATACAGCATTCTTGCATGGTATGGGAGCAGCTCTGTAGCCGGCAAAAAAGCTCTACAGAGAATCATTAAAACTGCCCAGAATATTATCAGACTCCAGCTACCAGCCCTGGACAACATCTTCGAATCTCGCTGTTTGAGGAAGTTGCATACATTCTCAGAGACTCTTCCCATTCTGCTTACAATCTTTTTGGACTGTTGCCTTCTGGCAGAAGATACAGAACAATTAAAACTCGGACCACACGTTTTCTAAATAGTTTTGATCCCAGAGCTATAATTGCACTCAACAATGAACTAAAGGGCCACCATCAGTGAGCTGTTGGACAGTATTACTTGGTCTGTTGTGTGGATGTTTGGGTGGTTTAGGAGTGGGGAATTGGGGTGGGCGGGAGTGTGTTTGGGGATTGTGTGTGTGGGACCTGGTCTTTGGGTGTCAAGTAAATTTCGTTCTATGTGTATACTGTGTATACACATACAATGATAATAAAGTTTATTTATTTATTTTATTGGGTAATGAAATGTCTGCAAGAAAACAACCAAGGTCAAAGAGCATGAAGGAGCCTATAAATATTATTATATTATGTTGCATTTTTCATTGTTATTCTTTTTCTTGATTTCTTTCTTTCATATTCTACTATTTTAACAATAAAGTATCTATTATCATTTTTTAAAAAAACACTACCTCTCCTTCAAATCTGATTTCTTGCTAGACTAGGAACAGAAAATCTGAAATAACCTAGACCTTGCTAAATTATAGCTTTAGTATTCGTCTTCACTGGACAATCTTTTTATCTTCTCCGGACTCTCTTCACTTGGCTAGGAAATACTCCCAGTAATGTTATATTTCATTCCCTATGCCTTTTTCATATATTTTCCTATTTATGGAGCAAATGTAGTCTAGAGCCTTTGTATATCTATAATGACAGAGATACTAATCAGGTGGAATTCGAAGGACTTAAAGATTCCTCAATTTCTTTGGGAATTAGTATCACAAGCACAAAAAAACACCTTAAAACAAAAAAGCACCCCAAAAGCTACCCCTAAAAGCACACTGGAGGCTTAATAAGGTTTTCCTATTGGAAAATACATGTACCTCTTAGTGTAAAGTTGAAACCTGGGCTATATGTTGGTGCCATATTTCTGTTTGGGTAGTCAGCTTTGCATTTATATGGACCCAGTTGACTGTTGGAATGGATTGTGGTGTTAAATGCAACTTTTTGTTCCTTCATGCTCTGTACTACAGGACCTTGCACTTTTCCTTTGTTTAAAAATAAGATGTAATTAATTGGCAGACAATGTGTCTCCCAGTAGCACACCAATGTCACTTTTGCTCCGATGATGATTTCTGGTGTGAGACTGTCGATTTTGATATCCTTCACAATCTTTGAGCAAGAGGCATTATGCTGAGGCGATTCTGTAATAAAAATTGAACATTGATTATCAAACGATTTACTCTGTATTAACTTCAGTGGCACTGACTCTTCAGCACATCCTCATAAGTTCCTGGCCGCAAAGGGAAGCAGTATAAATTGAGAAATACAAATCCCCTGTCTGCCCTATTTGTAGCCCATTGTGTCTACTGGTTATCCAAGATAGTTATCTTCTGAACCCACCTGCTGTCTCTGCTGATGGGATGTAATGAGCTAGGAGCTTGGCTTTGCTATCCTCCCATGAAAATCTACTAATAGACTTTTCTGTTAACAGCACAAAAAAATGGTTTCATTAGTGTTATTGCTACCACTTTATTTTAGCTGAAGTTAGGCCAAGGAACTTTTCTGCAGCTACTGGATAAACAAACAAAAAAGGAAAAAAAAACACAATCCATATAGAAACAAATCCATAATCCCGGGATAAACAACAATAATTAAAGCCCCCTGAAAAAAATGTTTAAATACTTGTTGTTTTGCTACCAAATGAGATTTGTTGCTACCAAATGAGATTTTTGAATGATTTCTGGAAGTTGGGCTTTCTGCTTTCCATTCCAAATATTCTCCTTTTCCAAAAGAATATGGACTTGTGTTGGAAAATTTTAAAAATACAACTGGATTTCTGTACTTCATGGAAAGGAAAATCCATCTGATAAGCAGTTTTAATTTCCAGCTCTATTCCAACTGCTCTTTAAAAAATAATCTCTCACCATATTTTTTTTCTATAAAGACTACTGAAGATGGATGTTGCTCATTATTGTAAGGAATTTTTTAAAAATTCTTTCTCCGATGCAGACCCTGTAAACAGATCATTGCTTTCAGCAATGCTTCAACATCTATGATGTTCATCATCAGAATTTTCAATAATGGAGATTTGTTTTTTGTGTGAAGAAATCACCAACATGTTCAGCTCTGAAATTTTCTGATCTAGAGCTGTGGCCCCTAACCTTTTGGGCACCAGGGACTGGTTCTGTGGAGAGAGGCTTTTCTGTGGACTGAAGTGGGCGTGGTTTTGTGTGCTGCCTGCATCCTGCGTATGGGGCTTCGCTTGTTTATGTGGCCTGGTAGCTGGCATGTCGTGGCCCAATGCCAGTCCACAGATTGGAGATTGGGGACCCCTTATCTAGAGAATCTAACTTTTATCTCTAGGAGCTCTGTTTCTCTTCACCTACTGCTTTTTCATCTGCATACATTTCATTGCTGTCAAAGATAATAAATCATGAGCAACAGCAACTAGAATAATACACTCCATTAACTTACTTTGTGGGTAGTTTATCTTTTTTGTCAGAAAAAAACAACATCTGGATGCTTTTAGCTGTTCCTCAACACTAACCTCAGCTTTGAGAAACTTTTTATATCAAAGGCAATAGAAGGTTTCTGTGATTCCTGCTTTCCCTGTTTTTTGTCAATGGACACATATGTTATCGCAAGGCAGTGATGTAGATGATAGAATTTTCACAGAACACATAAGCAACAGAGCACTCCAAAGATGAACAGGTAGCCTCTTACATTGTTGGAGGTTTAAGATGTAAATAAAAGTGTCTCCATACCAAACTGGAAATCTAGGATTTCTAAAGTTTGAATGGTAGCCATTAGTTCATTTTCCTCATCATGGCCCCCAGTCTTATTTTTTAAGCAGCTTGTATGTTGATGTGTGTTGATATAAATTTCATTCAAGTGGCTCCCACTAGATTTTACATGCACATTGAGCTGTATATGTGTTGATGGTCTTTGTAAAATCTACTTGGTGCTGTATATGGAGCTGCCCTTGAAGAGTAAACTTCACCTGGTGCAAAATGCAAGTGTGTGTGTGTATATGGGGTAGAATACATGTTACACCACTATTTTGCAAACTGAACTGGTTACCAGTCTCTTTCCAGATCCAATTGAAAGTGCCTTTAACACCTTTCATGGCATAGGACTCGGTTACTTGAAGGATCCTTCCATTCCCTACCAGTCAGTTAGAAATGAAGAAGCTTCTTAGATGAAAAGCAAAATGGTTTCAAAGAAAACACCAAGAAAGTCCAGTGCCTTTTGGAAAAAACACCTGTGGGACAACCATGATCTGGATGGTTGAGAATCTCTATAGACATCAATTTTAACTATATGTCATCATAGCTTTTTAGTGTATACTAGATACAATAGGATCTAGTATTTACTCAAAGGGAGTATTTGAACATCATGAGTATTCTGATCAATGACCACAATAAGGTTTTGCTATTATCATAATATAAAAATACAGATATTGTAATCTTGGCTTTATGGGTGGGTTCATACATCATGCAGAACCATCGTTTGTTCATTGTGGCTTGTTGTGTTACTGCTGATAGGTGATTTACAGTTAATATTGTGAATTGTAGTATTGAAAATAAATACAGGTAGTACTTGACTTAGAACACATTTTTTAGTGACTGTTTGAACTTACAAAAAGCACTGAAAAAACTGACTTATGACCATTTTTATGACCGTTGCAGCATCCCCATGATTACGTGATCGAAATTCGGATGTTTGGCAACTGATTCATATTTATGACCTTTGCTGTGTCCTGGAGTCATGTGATCACCTTTTGCGACCATCTGACAAGCAAAGTCAATGGGGAAGCCAGATTCACTTAATAACTGTGTCACTAACTTAACAACTGCAATGATTCACTTGACAACCATGGCAAGAAAGATCATAAAATAGGACAAAACTCACTTAACAAATATCTCACTTGGCAACATAAATGTTGGGCTCAATTGTAATCATAACTAGAGGACTACCTGTAATGCAAGGTCATAGCTCATGAGGTAAATAAGCCAAATTGGTTGGAATGGTAATGGCTGACTTTTCTTCTTTTCTCTTGGCAACAAGTCTTAAGTAGCAGGTTAACTCTCAGTATAGTCATTTATATTCTTCTCCTTTGTGAATTTTCTCAACTTTGAATAACATCTAACAGCATGATCATCCATAGGCAGTGAATGTTAGTAATTTCAGTAAAGTAAGATTCAATAAAGTGGATTTGCAGCATGGAAGGAGAGATACTCGGCTCCAATTTAGAGAAGTGACATCAGTTTGTAGGAGTGGTTCAGAGTATATATTCCAAATACAAAGATTAAAAATGTAGTAATAAATGTATATTCTTTTCTGTAGTCTGAGAACAGAAGATACAGAAAATCCTCAGCCATTCTTCCATCATAACATATAACCAGATTTCCAAGGTGACTAACAGACAATTAAAACTTTTTTTATAAGTTACATTTTTCTTTTAAAATTTGATACATATTTTAAATTATGTTTGAACATGCTTTAGCACACATCACAACCAAGACTATGAAGCAATGGTCTTAATGGAAAAATATTATATTAATAGTAGAAAATACAAATATAACATATAATAAATGTACTTCTGTAATTTCAGGGAGAAACTTACCAGGGTTAGCTCTATTATCCGTAATACCACCATTCTCCTTCGTATTTCGCACCCCTAAATGGTTTGAAATTAAGAATAATTAATGTTGAGTGACATTAAACAAACTGAAACATTTAATATTGAGTGACATTAAAGAAATTGAACTATTATTAAAAATAAAGCAGTCCTTACACAATGTTAACAAGAGATACAGAAATCCTAGTCTTTCGGTCATCTTTAAATAAGAATGAAGAAGCTGTTTCCTCTTTTGTGCAAAACACTGGCTATGCCAATGAAGTTTTGTCTGAAGAGGAAGTTTATGCAAATAAATGGGTGGGAATCAAGAGAATGAAAAATTGCAAAAATTTGTTTTAAAAAATGTGATGATGCTTCTCTATGCTAGTTTCTGTTTCTGCTTAATTTAAGCTATTCTTAGGGGGGAAACTGTAATTAGAAAGCAAGTCTGGAGTGGGTTCATGTCATTATTGCAAATCAAACATTGAGAAAATCACCAGAAAAACTCCATTACAAAACTGTTTGCATGTCTGGAGGAAAAAGAACACTGAGCTGAAAAGTGAAAATGACACATTGATCTAGAAGAAAAAGAACAGAGAAGTGGAGGAACAGATTCCTAAGTGTAAAATGGGGATCCAAACCTAAGGCCCAATTGTAGTAATAACATTTATTCAATTTTAATATCACCCTTCTTTTTATTCATCTCAAAGCAGCAGCCACATCCAATGCTTCTTATCCCCTAATTTCCCCACAACAACTGTGGGGAAGGAGTGAGGTGGAGTGGGCTGAGAGAAAGTGATTGGCCCAAAGTCACCCAAATGATTTTTATGGCTGAAGCGGGATTCGAATTCATAATCTCCTTGTTTCTAGGCCAACTGTCAGACCTGGAAACCATCTTTTACCTTTGAGCCTTCAGGTCTGCCACAAATTGTACTGTGGGACAATGGGAGGGGGGATTGTATGGAGTGTAGATGATATGTAGTCAAAATAACATTCTTTCCAGAAAGCCAAGGCCATTGTGCCCTGCAGCTGTGCTGAGAAGAATGAGGAGAGTATCTGTTCTAGAGGGTACCTGATTGTTTCTTGTGATGGTCATGTGGGTGAAGGGCAAGGACTTGAACTTTCTTTTGGGTGAGGAAAACCTGGAAGCTCTCACCTTCGGGTTTTCCCAGATGTGTCAATATGACATCGCTAATAAAAGTTAACTTTGAGGAAATTCAAGCCTCGGAGTTTGATTTTGTTGGGGATGTTACTTGGAACGCTGATATCAACATCTTAACCGCTGCAACAAACTAGCTCCATGATCATAATCATAAATATAAATAGAATAGTAATTATTCCCATTGCTATGTAACGGAAGGAAAAAATAAACTGGTCACAGACAGATTGCCTAAGAGGTACAGTAGCTTACTTACGCAATCTCTCCACTCTGAGAAAAAAATAACACATCAGGCACAGGACAACATATAATAAAGTGACTATAACAGCAAATACTTGACTGAGCAGAGAATTCTACTGTGTTGCTGTTGTTATTTACTAAACTTGTATGCTGTCAGATGCCTAACAACTCTGGGTGGCTTACAACAAACAAAGCAATTAGAATAAACATCAATAAAAGATAAAAGTCTCACTCTTCAGAGGCCTGGATGAAAAGCCAGGTCTTCATGAGTCTTCCAAACAAGAGCAAAATGGGGACGACCCATTTCTTTGAGGGAACTTCATTTCAGAGGGAAGGCACTGCTACAGAGAAGATGTGCTTCCAGAGTCCCAAGAGATGATGTTTAATTGAAGGAATCCAAAGAACACCAACCCAGGAAAATTGAACTGACCAGGCAGATCAGTAGTAGGTTTCAAATTTTTTTACTACCGGTTCTGTGGGTATGGCTTGTTTGGTAGGCCTGGTTTGATAGTCATGTGACTGGTTGGTCATGTGACTGAGTGGGTGTAGCTGGTTGGTCATGTGACTGGTTGGTCATGGCTGGTTGGTCATGTGACTGGGTGGGCGTGCTGGGTGTTTTCAGGTAAGCTTTTCATGGGAAGCTGACTCTCTTGTTATTCCATGTAATAATTAACCAAAAAAGCTCTGTGTGATTTCAGAAATATGAATAAATCTTCAGTTGCTACTAGTTAGTAAATATCCAGCACAAATTTGATTTTGTAAGTAAATCACCAATCCACTCTAAAACCTGTGGTTAGATTTTGTGGTATAGACTTAGAAATGACTATTCCAGTACAGTTGAGAAAAAGTTTAAAACCAGCATAACACAAGCATTATTTCATTTTGTAAAGCTGTTTTCACGGTAAATAGGGAATGTTGCATAATTCTTCCCCAGAAAACACTTTTACAAAACACTAAAGATGGGGCACATCCACACAATCAGAATTTCCACCCACCAATCCCCCCCAAAAGCAGCTGGAAAGCAAACTTTGTCTTCATTCCTTGAAGATCTTATGTTCAATAAGATACGAACAATTATCTTAATGTAGCAACAGCCAGGAATGAAAATTGCTTCTAATGAATATTCAGAGAAGAAGTAAGGAATGGGAAAACTGAGACTACATTTTCCTGTCTTTATGGGGCAAAGAATTGTCTGCTCAGCATCTTGGGAGCAAGAAAAGCTCAGGTGAGGAGATTGTGCCAGAAAAGGATATTGGCATCTCCAGCCATATGCACAGACAAGTTTAAATGGCGAATGTTTTAAATGTTGATAAACACTGCAATGAAGCAACATTTATTTTATTTTATTTTATTTTATTTTATTTTATTTATTTTATTTGTCAAGACCGTATTTGGTAATAAGTACAGTATAAGCGTGGATTGGATAAATAAAATAGGTACAAATAGAAGAAACATTAGGACAGGGACAGTAGGCGCACTTGTGCTCTTATGCACGCCCCTTACAGACCTCTTAGGAATGGGGTGAGGTCAACAGTAGGCAGTCTTAGGTTAAAAGTTTGGGGGTTTTGGGATGAAACCACAGAGTCAGGTAGTGTATTCCAGCCATTGACCACTCTGTTGCTGAAGTCATATTTTCTACAATCGAGTTTGGTGCGGTTTACCATAAGTTTGTATCTATTGTGTGCTCGTGTATTTTGTGGTTGAAGCTGAAGTAGTCATTGACAGGTAGGACATTGTAGCAGATAATTATATGAACTATGCTTAGGTCATATTGAAGGCGGCATAGTTCTAAGTTTTCTAAGCCCAGAATTTCAAGTCTGGTGGCATAGGGTATTTTGTTATTTTATTTTATAACATGTTACTACATACCCATAACTCAACTTTCAATAGTTTGAAAAAAATATCACAATGCTGCTAAAAAAAAAACCTGTCTGGGAAAGTCAGATCCCAGAATTCTCAGTCCAGGAGTGTGGCAAGGTACTATTCCCTTTAAGGAAATGTCTGAGGACAGGGATGTTGAAAGTTAGGTTATTTGATGCCCCTGGCTTACAAGAAGGCCATAGTAGAATCTGACAGACACATTTTTGAATATTCCTGAAAATTGGGATTAAGAGAAATGGAGTTTCCAAGATGTAAAAAGAGGAACTGTTTTGCTTAGTTTCTATTTCCAGAATAGAGAACGTCTCCAGATTTTACTACATCATTCTAATCTCTTCAGAGGACAACTCATAGCTTCTGTGATCTTTGAGGTTAGCTATTCCTTGTATTGCTTGTGTGGTCAGCCATGTGAGCCCAGTGGGGACGATGGGGGTGGGGATGTGGCAAGTGACGGGGATGGAGGTGGAACCCTCTCTGTAAGACAAAAAGCAAAAGTTAATTTCTGAGTTTTCATTCCTAAAAGCAGTAGAAGGCCTGGCCCAGACACGATCAGCCAGTTCTGTGGTGGCTGTTTCCACTAGATGGTGCCATTATGCAGTGCACAGTTGTCCGACTGTATCTTAGCATCCCAGAATGATGTTTCTTGCTTATGTTTTTAAGCATGGCCACCTTCTTACAAAAACATCAGGTGGCTATTATAGATATTCTGCTCCCGCAAGGTAGCAGGAGAAGGAAAAATGAAAGCAAAGACTGGTTTCCTAGGATTTGTTATCACGAACAGTAATAAATACACTAAAAAGTTTATAGAGTTCTAAACATCACAACTACTGAAGCTCATTGATTTATTTAGAAAGTAAAATGCAGCTCCAAAAAATGCTAATAAATATGCTGTCATAAACTGGTTTCATATCTGATATATTTTTTCTCTGAAAGCTATTTTTCATAATTCTCAGGAAAATTAGAAGGCACGCAGATATGGCAATTCTTAAGCAACGTACAATGTTCAGGATTTCTGGGAGAGTTCAGAGTAAAGAAAGGGGGAAAGTGATATATTTTCTTAGCCATTTTCGCTCTCATAACTGGATCTCCTTCAGTTTTGAGGATTGCAGTCCAAGCACAGCTGGAGAAGAGGCAAGTTAGGCCAGAGTTTCTCAATGTGTGATGGATGTAGTGAGGAGCTGGATCCCAGGAGGGAGGGGCTGAATTCCAGAGGAGTAAGAGGCAACTCAGTCTAGACGTTGTGTGTGAGAGAAAGAGAGTGAAGACAGCACCTCCCTAATAGTTCGCAGAATGTATTGTAGATGCAGATAATAGAGTCCTCAATCTGGCAAGATTTTATCTATAGGTGTGAAACAATGAAGAACTCAGCTTGGAAGAATCACCATGTGTATCATTCTTGGTTTTGGGCCTAACACAACTTCAGCAACTTTAAGATGGTGGACTTGAATTTCCTGGCTGGACAGCTGGGAACTGGAGTCCACACATCTTAAATTAGTCGAGATTGAGAAACACTGCACTTCCTCTAATTCAAAGAAGAAAGAGAGGCTGGCTTACAGCTGTCCAGTTCCAGTTCTCCTGGTCTACAAGATCTAGTGAATTAGTTCTTCTACCCTGTTGCCTTCCCATGTTTTTTTATTTCACATTTTGTTTTGCCTTGATAAAGGTCTAAATGGAGTGGAGGAGGAGAAGGAGGAGGAAGAGGAGAAGGAGGAGGAGGGCCAGACCCAAATAGTCTAAGCACTCTGGTGGTGTCCTGAAGCAAGACCCTTCCCATTCTTGCTAT